ATGAAATGCTTACAAATTGCACTTGCAGACATTAGATCGATATAAACAAGATCAGATTCATGTTATAAATGTACAGAAAGAAATACTTGACTGACTGTGTTGGTACTGCRTTATTCCCTTTTAATAAGTATGTACAACTGTATTTGATGTAATAATGGTAYAAAAACAAACAATCTCTTGATATAAGATTAGAACTCACCAATAAGTTTGATGCTTGTACTAAAGCTGGTCTAATATCCAATGCCACCTCTTCTTCTGGCTCATCTTTCTGCTTTAACAAAAGTCTTAAGCTTTTAGCAAGCATTTTCAGGTTACCTCCAGTCAGGTCATTCTGATCCTCAGCTTTGCTTTCAAACTCTGCTTTACGTTGAAGCTGGTCAGCAGTTGTAGGTGTTTGGACAGGACCAATGTTATTCATGGTTTTTACAATAAGAATGTCAACTGCGATAATAATAATTCATTATAATTTTAAAATAAGTCTAGCAATATTGATGATGTTAATGTATAATTATAATGATGATAAAATCACAGTAATAATATCTTAACTGTTATGCATGCATCAGTCATTTAATTCAAAAGCTGATGTTTTTTCTATACCATTAGCTGCATTGTACAATGTTTCTTATAACTACAAGTCAGAATATMGTCTCATAGTATTAYTTAACACTTATTTACTGGRACCAGTATGTTTAAGATAACTAATATGTCATGATACCCACCTAGYTCATGTCCACTTGGTGAGTCTGGTTTATCGGGTGTTTGTTGCAATCTCTGTATGGTTTGCTGTGGTGGAGCTATCAAGGATATTTAACATACTAGACMTTAAACTCATATGCATAATAAATAATAGTTTTATCCCAAATCATCATTCTAGCACTACTTTTTAACTCAAAGCAGAAGGTAATAATGATCAGTAAGTACAAAGATGCAATTCCATAATTCCAATTGTTGACAACTTTGTTTGCTTCACTATTTATGGTAATAATTGTAACATACCAGCCCGTGAATAGTAATKATAACTTTGATTTCCCATTTGTTGTGTGATATAAAAGACACCTATATACAGCAGTACTAGTAATACTATTTGAATATCTTCACCTGAAGAAAACAACAACAACGGTTCCCCAATCTTTTCATCCTTAATTTCCTTGTCTATAAATAAAAGATTGCAATGGTTGGTTGATGGATAATACCATGATAATGACCATCCTACAAAACATTAACTAACCAGTAGGCACTCCTTGCTGTTCTACAAGTGTTGTTGTCATGCCCTTATTATAAAAATTCCTGACTTCCAAGTAAGCCTGCTTCCAGTCAACATGCTGATTCTTTGCAAGAGTTTCTATCTTCCTTGGCAGATTGACAATCCCTTCACTGAGACCTATTGCACACATTGTAACAACAAGATTATTGTCAGTCATCACTATAACATATCAAAGCAAGCCATGACAGTACGTTAACAATAACCTTTCTTTTCAATTGCTTGTTTTCTATTATTGATTGACATGTCAATTATTTTTTTTGACAATTCAGATAATCACAGGGTCAGTTCAACATTTTAACGCTATTATTCTGCACAGTTTATGGATTTCCAGACGTGTTACATGCCAATCAGATAGTCAAAGTGGATGTGTGGAAACCCTGTGCTGGTCTTTCTTGTACAATTACCTATCATTCTGAGCCTTTTCTTCCATATACTGCCATCTTGACACAAGTATCTCCACCTCTGACACACCTAAACATTAATTACCAAATGTAAAATACTTTCAATCAAAAGTCCATCATTTTGTTAGCATACCTGTGAACTCCTACATAGACTTCTTATATCCAGGTAATTCAAGACTTTACGTAGTATGTGGTCTGGAAGACTATTAATGCTAGTTTGATCTCTTAATCTGTAAAACAATCAATACTACAATGTATTCTGCAATGTACTCAATCTCACTACACTAGATACATG